GACGAAGCTAGTGGGCTCTTTGTGAGAGGTCGTACTAGCCAACAGGGAAGAAGCAAATTCTTCTTCTGATCAGGAACATGACAGACTTTTGTAATAGTCCACACGATTCCATCATGGTAGCGAACCCAAACTAAACCAACGCAAACTATTTTACAAGTTGCATTATTGCCCATTACTACGGTTCCTCCACTTGTGTCATAATTGTTTAACCAATCTTTTTGGAATGTCATATGCAGAGTACAACCAGAGTCTAATACCCATTTATTGCCATAGACTCCACTATTGCATGATGTTGTTAGTACATATTCATCATCAGAATCATGTATCTGCTCAACAATGGATGCACTCGCCTTTTCCTTGGACTTTGACATAGGACAATCTTGTTTAAAGTGCCGCTCCTTGTGACAGCCCCAACACTCTGCATTCTTCTTGTTCACACAAGACTTTAATTTGTACTTTGATTTGCTTCTTCCTTATTGGCTAGTATGACTTATTACAAAGAGCCCACTAACTTTGTCACCTTTGTCTCCTCCAAGATGCCTTCGCACATCACAAGAGTTAATTGCTTGCCGCACTTGCTCAAGAGTGATAGGCTCTTTGCTATACATCATTGAATTTTCAATATCACGATATTTTGAAGTCAATGAAAATAGCAAAGCACATGCAAGCGTCAGCTCATTCTTTTTAATTCCAGCCGTCTGTAAGTCCATCACAAGTTTATTGAACGCATCTAGATGGTCTTGCAACAAAGTACTTGACTCCATCTTAAATGTGTGAAGACGCCGTTGTAACAACATCCTTGTTGTCACCGACCGGTTATGGTAAAGTCCTTTCGGCCTTTCCAATAACTGTTTGGTCATCTCCTTGGTACTTGTACTTACTTCACAAAGCACGTTAGGTGCAAGGGATAGTTGGATTAAGCTCAATGCATTTCCTTCTATCTTCTCCTTGTCGGAATCCGATGTGTCATCAGGGTATTTTCCATCAATAGCATGGATTGAACCTTCCCTCCACAGTAACGCCATCATCTAGATCTTCCATATATTGAAGTTGTTGCTCCCACTAAATCTATCAATTTCAAACTTCATGAAACTCATTGTTACTTGTTCTTTCTCTTCTACTACAAAGTATTTGGAAATGCAGAAAACCAAAGTAATTATTTTCTAATGTGGAAGTTCAGACTGTGTTGCAACCACAGAGCATACTCCGACAAAACCTTGGCTCTAATACCATGGCATTGGTTCAGTTCGGGTTCGCTGCCATGATGGAATCATGAAGACTATTACAAAAGTTTGTCATGTTCCTGACCTGAAGAAGAATATTATCTCCCTAGGCACTCTGGATAAACAGAGCTACAAGTACATGACCAAAGGAGGAACTATGAAAGGGTTTTTAGTCATACTGAAGGCCAAGCTGGAGGATGACCTCTACACTTTTTGGCTCTGTAAATGAATCTACAGTGCAGTTATCTGATGATGACAAAGCAAGATTATGGCACATGAGACTAGGTCATATGAACGTACAAGGACCGGAGATGTTGAGCAACCGCAACATTTTGATGGTCAGAAGATCAACACACTTGAGTTTTGTGAGCACTTCATCTTAGGGAAGCAGAAGAAAGTCAGCTTCAGCACTGGCAAACACAAGACGGAAGAGGTGCTAGACTACATGCATTCAGATTTATGGGGTTCCTCTAAGCTTTTTACATTCATTGATGATTTTTCACGAAAGGTTTGGGTGTATTTCTTGAAGGCAAAAGGTGATGCTTTAAAACATTTAAAGAATGGAAGATTTTGGTTGAGAAGTAAATGGAGAGAAAAATCAAGTATTTTCATACAGACAATGGCTTGGAGTTTTGCAAGAAGAGTTCAATCATTTCTGCAAGGTTCATGGGATCGCAAGACATAAAATGGTTAGGCATACACCACAGTAGAATAGAGTTGCTGAGAGGATGAACAGAACTCTTCTTGAGAAGGCTCGTTGTATGCTCTTACAAGCCAAAATGTCAAAAGTGTTTTGGGTTGAAGTAGTTCACACTGCTTCTCATATTTTCAATCGATCTCCAGCATCAACGATTGACTTTAAGACTCTGAATGAGGTATGGTCAAGTGAACCCTCTAACTTGTGAATATTTAGGTGTCCAGCTTATTATCATGTTATTGAAGGAAAGCTTGAACCAAGAGCTAAGAAGGCCATATTCGTAGGGTATGTCGATGGAGTAAAAGGGTACAAGCTTTGGTGTTTGTCATTACTAATATTTGTAGTTAGTAGAGATGTTACTTTTGATGAATCCTCTATACTTGATCCTCGTAAAGTTTTTGTGGAGTTATCAGGAAAGGAGAACAACTAGCAGATGGAGCTGTCGTGGAGCTTACCAAGGAAAGGGATCAAGAGACTAAGTTGATGAGTTAAAAGATGCAGATCCTGAAGAATTTGTTGTTAATGAACCATACACAATTGCGAAGGGAAGGGATAAAAGGTAGATACGAAACCAGAACGTCTTTTAGAGCAAGCAAATCTGATTGCATATGCATTCGTAGCTGTAGAAGAAGAGATTAAGAATCTCAAGCCCTCCTCGTATGCTGAAGAAACTTCTTGCAAGGATGCTGCACAATGGCGGTTAGCCATGATGGAAAAGATGTAAGTTTGTTCACTAAAATGAGACATGGGTCTTAGTTAAAAGGTCAAAGGGGAAGAGGACAGTTGGATGCAAATGGGTCTACAGAAAGAAAAAGAGCATTCCAGAAGTGAAAGATGCTAAGGTTCAAGGCGAGATTGGTTGCAAAAGGTTTCAGTCAGAAGGAGGGAATTGACTACGATGAGATCTTCTCTCCAATTGTGAAACATAGCTCAATTCGCGTGCTACTAGCATTGGTTGCACAATTTGATTTGGAGCTTCAACAGCTTGATGTCAAAACTGCTTTCTTACATGGTGATCTAGAAGAGATAATCTATATGGATCAACTTGAAGGTTTCCTAGCTGAGGGAAAAGAATATCATGTATGCTAACGAAAGAAGTCCTAGTATGGCTTGAAGCAATCCCCTAGACAGTGGTACAAGAGGTTTAATGCATTTATGACTACACCTGGATTCTCGAGGAGTGCATTTGACAGTTGTGTGTATCACAAGAAGATGCCTGGTAACTCTACGATTTATTTATTATTGTATGTTGATGATATGCTTATTGCTGCTAACAACATCACAAAGATAAATATTTTGAAGAAACTGTTGAGCAAGGATTTGACATGTAGGATTTGGGAGTTGCAAAGAAAAACCTTGGAATGGATATTTCAAGAGAAGACGGTGTTGTACATCTTTCTCAGAAAAGGAACATCGAAAAGGGTCTTGAGAGATTCAATATGCATATGAGCAAGCCTGTAAGTACACCGTTAGCTTCTCATTTCAACCTTTGAGAGTTACAAATTCTATGCCAAATGTTCTTTATGCTAGCACAGCTGGTAGCAAGTATGTTGTGGTGTGCACATGTCCAGATGTTGCTCAATATGTAAGTGTGGTAAGCAGGTACATGGAAAATCAAAGAAAAAGGCATTGGGAAGCTGTCAAATGGATATTGAGATATCTCAAAGGAGCTTCTGATGTTGGCCTAACCTTTCGGAAAAGTGAAGGTATTTTAGTTCTCGGTAATTTAGATTCTGACTATGCAGGGGATCTTGATAGAAGGAGGTCCACAACTGGATACATCTTTACTCTCTTTGGCAATGCCATTAGTTGGAAATCGACTTTATAGTCGATTGTTGCTTTGTCTACAAAAGAGGCAGAATATATGGCAGCAACGGAGGCAGTGAAAGAAGCTATCTAGTTGAAAGGTTTGGTGGCAGAATTGAGTTTGGTTCAGCTGGAATCAACTCTAAAATGTGATAGTCGAAGTGCTATTCATTTGATTAAAAATCAAAGATTTCATGAGCGCACCTAACACATTGATGTCAAATTCCATTTCATTCGAGATGTCATTCAAGAGGGAGCTATCAAGGTCGAGAAGGCTATCACGGACGATAACGCTGCAGACATGGTAACCAAGATAGTCCCGCTTGCCAAGTTTGCATATTGCAAGGACTTGGCGGGAGTATGCATCAACTGATGCAACTCTGGGATAGCAACTGCTAGGTGGAGCTAGTGGTTCAACGAAGGTTTAATTATTCTTGTTTCTTACAACGAGATTGCCCAGTAAGCTTAGAAGTTTTGGCCGAAGTTGTTCATATGCATGCTCGGAATGCATACCAAGGTGGAGATTGAAAGAGTTGGTTTGGTCCTTGTGGGATCAAACCCAATGGAAGAAAATTCCATGTGCCAATTTACTTGGCTAGGAATTAAACTTGGAGATCAAGCTAAAATTTGTGGAAGACAAATTTTGTATTTCTTTTCTTTGTGCTTGGAGCCCAAGTTTGGCCACTTATAAAAGGATGGTCATTCTTCATTGTTAAAATCATCCTAAACTTATAGCAAAATACATTAGAAGAGTAGAGAATTAGTAGAGCAATTCTCTTAGATGTATTTGGGATCTCTTCCCTTTCTTTGTTAATATACATGCAATTGTTCGCTGGTAGCCGTAGGATCATTCTGATCCGAACCACGTTAAATATTGTTGTTCTTCCTTGTTCTTTATTATTCACATTTCTGCTAACAGAAAGAAAGATTGAGTTGGGGTTAACAGTTCGTGGCAGAAAGAAGAGAAATGGAGGAACCACAATTAAGGAGTTAAAGTAGAAAGACTTGACTATTCAGTTTTTGTTATGTCTAGAGATGTGACTTTCATTTTATTTTTTGTTAGAGCACTTGCATTGGCAGATTTGAAGGAAAAAGCATACAATCTAAGAAAAAAAGTTAAATGCATATCATGGTCTATGAATTGGTGCCACATCACTTCCCTATAGACCAACAATTGGTATATATACATATTTGCCTCAGTATAACCTTAGAGCGTTTAATGATTGAATTCGGTCCTTAACTTAACCTCAACTGGCAACTAAAAATGCCCTAACTTTGACAATGCACATCTAGACACTTAACTTGGTTTAAGTTGGCCTCATAAACACCCAAATTTGAGAATGCACATCCAGAAAAGTGTGTTTACGGGGCCAACTTAAACCAAATTATGGTGTCTAGATGTGCATTTCAAAGTTGGGGTGTTCAATTGTCAGTTCAGACCAAGTTAAGGTGTCTATCTATGTATTATGCCAAGTTTAAAGCTTACGAATACTGAAATAGATATGTCGTGCTTTTTTTTCCTTTCATGTTTACCAAGCCTTATTCCTATCCTTAGTGATGCAAGATTTTGGTTAGCTTTATCACACTTGAAATGTTGTTTGCTTGCTTCACTAACTTATGTGATGCACTCTTGGCAGGGTTTGGTAGCAGCAGCATATGCATTGGTTGGTGAGTCTGCAATTTCTGCCAAATATTCTGATAATCTGCATATTTCTCCATAGTTGCCATTTTTGGGTTCGCTTATTCAACAGATAATGTTTAGTGGAGAAGTACACAGGCTATTATGAAATTTCTCTCTAGATATTCAAGTTAGAAGAAATTTCTGTGAATGTTTCTTGTATCTTCTTTTTGGGGGTGGTCATATGTGTCGGAAAATTGGGGGAGGAATACTCTCAATCTCTCATTTTCTCTTGAAGAAAAGCGATGGAAATCATTTTTCTTTACTTCCCTCTACTTGCATACATAAAATGGCTATAGTACCTAGGTATTTATAGAACTTTTCTAGCATGTACCTAGTCTAGTACATACCTTAATTTAATTCTAATTTTTTCCTTTTTCCTGGTTCATGACCAAAACAATACATGTATCCTAAGAGTAATACATTTAGCTTCTAAATTCATAAACTAAGATAATTAATTCATGAATCACAAAAATCTAAGAAAACCTTTCCTTTTCCAACCCAAGGTTCAATTTTCAACAGTATGCTGTAGGACCTGGAGCAGACCACTTTTTGTATAGGAATTTTGGGTTTCACGATATTAAGGTTGATCTTTAAATTACTAATAAAACTAGAGGATCTGTTATTATATTATGTTTCTAATCTCGAAACTAATTTAGCTTATTAATATGAATTGCAGTCTCTCCAGCAGTTTATCTGGTTTTTATTGAATTATAGGTTTTCATGTCCTCATAAATGTTTTCCATAGCTTACCTTGTGCACCTTCCTCATTTTTATCAGACTAGAAGACCTTCCTTCTTCTTTTTCCGGTCACGATCTTCACTCTCTTAGTTTTACAAGGAAGCAAGGGAGTGCCTTTTATTCTGTTTAATGATAGCGAGTGCATCACTGGATGCTTGTTCCTAACTGAAGACACTAAGATTTTTTTCTTTGTATTCTCTAGAGTGGGAGAAAACACTACAATACGTTGGAGTTTTTGGCCTATGTCAGGTAACTGTTCTAGTTTTCAAATAAACTTCATTTATGGTTTAAAGAGAGAATTTCCTATGTCCGAAATTCCGAATACACTAACAACTACTGAAATGAGTGGACAAACTTTTTCATACTAGGTTCTGTTGTTGCAAAGCCAAACCAAGATTTCATGATTATTTTTCAAAATTTGATTGCTAAAAGCTTGTTATTTGTTAGATATAAAGCTGATAATTGATTTCCTAAATTCTGGATTTATTTTCTGTTTCTAGACTTTATACCGTCGAATTTCTTCGTATGAGGATTCAGAAGATTTTAAACAGGATGTGAGGTAACAGTCCTTTTCATGAATTGAATTGCTGTTAAATGCTATATATCTTTTACATAGTGTTACTCAATACATTTTTGTTCTTTGACCCAGAGTCCTAAAGTTTTACTAAAATGGAATAAAGGTTAAAAGAATATAAAGTGAAGAAATAGCTCAATTTAAAGAAAAAAAAAGTGAAGAAATAGCTAATGCACCCATTGTTTATCGTTTATGGGTTGACTAATGAAATGAATTCTTGTTGTAAATGAGGGGCAGATTTAAAATTCTCTTGGCCTAGTTACCAATTCAAAAAAAAAAAAAAAAAATCTCTTGGCCTACACAAGTTGGAATTTTATGTCTTGATTAAAAAGAGAAGTTATTAGGAATTCACTTGAAAGGAGAAACAACTCTTCGATCTATATGCATATGACAACCATTGGAAGTTACTTTGAAAGGAAAAAAAGCTCATTTTTCTATATGTATATGACGAACATAGGAATTTACTTGTAAGGAGAATTAAATCTTAGATCTATATGCTATGACACAAAAAACACAATAGATGTTCGGTACCATTTGTGATAACTTGTACAATGAGTCTGTGCAGATGCATGTGTTTCCAACAAATTTTAAATATATGGAAAATAAATCAACCATAAATAAAATCTTAAATCAATGTGTACAATTCTGTTCTTCCCTTGATTCTTCTCTCATAAGATTTCTCCATGATCTGAGGTCGTTAGTGGTGTATTTTTCGAACTATGATGATTTGAATTTGATCTTTTTATGAATATTCCATGAATTTGCGGAATATTCGAGATGTCTCTTTAAGGGAATATAATACTCTTTACATAGGCATAAGCTAAAGCTAGGGTTTAGGGTTAGAGTAACGTCCAAGAAATCTAATTGGAATCGAGTACTTCTTGTAGAGTCCAACTAGAATTGAATATGTCTTGCATACCCACAAATTTTCAATGTCTACAAATGTCCCCTGCTTCAAGGCTTGTCGAAGCGTAGGCTTGATGAAACTCAAAGACCAGTCTTAAAGTACTCACTCTTCCACCTTTGCAGTTTTTAGGCTTCAGATTTGCAGTCTTAAACTGGGCGTGCCAATTTGTTCCCAAAAAATTGTAAACGTATGGAAAATAAATCAACCATAAATAAAAGCTGAAGAAACAAGAATATTTTATTGATAAATCAATATGAGTACAATTATGTTCTTCCCTTAATTCTTCTCTCATAAGATTTCTCCATGATCCGAGGATCCACCTTTATTCTTCTGTCATAAGATTTCTCCATGATCTGAGGATCCAAGGCCGTTAGTGGCGTATTTCTCGAACTAGGATGGTTTGAATTTGATCTCTTTATGAATATTTCATGAATTTGTGGAATATTCGAGATGTCTCTTTAAGGAAATATAATAACCTCTATATAGGCATAAGCTAGGGTTTAGGGTTAGAGTAGTCTCCAAGAAATCTAATTGGAATCCAATACTTCTTGTACAGTCCCAGCTAGAATTGAATACGTCTTGCAGAGTTCCATAAATTTTCAATGTCTATAGCATGTCAGGGACAGTTCCATTCTTATAGCATATGCATTAACACTGCAGAAAATGATGATAACTCAAACATAGCCCGTTTTATGATGAGATTATATCAGAAGATCTTGACAGTCTTATCAGTTACCATCATGGTTTTCTCCCAGATCCGTTTTTTATCATGGCACACTGTTGGATGAGAGCTTTTGGCCAATAAAATTACATCAACTTAAACTACATCCTTGTACTACCACAATGAACAAAAGACATGCCTGAACTGTTCAAATTATCACAAGATTCATCCTTCCGTTAGTTTTCTTGATAGAAACTAACAGCTTTGACCAAAAGTAGTGCTATGCATGACCACACATGGCCTTTTTTCAGCTATTTTGTCTTCTCCCCTCTTGTCTTCAACATCCAGCAAAAAAATGTTTTTATTTTGTTTAAACGACAATGAGTTCATAGATGATTCAACTGCATGGGATTGAATGCGATTTGGTTGCATGAATAAGAGTTTGTAGATCCTCTACGGGCCTTGACTTCAGAAAGACTGAGCTGTTAGATTTGTACAGTGAGTAGTGTGGGAGCTTCTACCTACCATGGTTTTGATTAAAAATTCACAATAGTATGCCAAAAAATCCGTGCAAAAAGGAACCTTAGCTTAATATCCTTAAATTCCACCATTATGATGCTGCCCCTGGAATTAGCAGCTAGTTTTAGTGTATTTTTGTTACTGCCCGAAACAAGAGAAATGCAGCTGAAGTTAAGCAGATTGTTGTCTGTATATTTCTCAACTCAAGCAACAGACCCTATTCTCCAGTTTTCAATTAGTCTCATGCCTCTTTTCTCTTCCTAAAATGAAAATCCAACATAGCAAACATACTCATGACCAAGCACATGCAGAGAAGAAAACCAGCCTTAGTTCTGTTAGTTTCTTAAACATGAGTTTGACGGTAGGATGAAACATGTTAAATTTTAGATACTTCAAGGATGTGTTTTGTTCACATGGTAGTACAAGGATGTAATTTAAGTTTGAAGCATAGTTAAATGATGTTTTTTGCCAGAAACTCCTTGGATGCCATTACCTTTGTTAGAATTTGTACATGTTTGTGATACGAGATATTTTACTACTTCCTCCGTCCCAATTTATGTGATGTAGTCTGGCACAGAGTTAAAGAAATATGGAAAGACTTTGATATGTTTCAAAATTATCCTTAAAATAAATGAATTTCTAAATAGAAGAGTACTTCTTTGTGGACATTTTGCCAAATAAGTGGGATCCAGCACAGGTAAAATGTTGATATTGTCATTAAACATTTGCCAAGTAAGGAAATGCATCATTCCGTTTGGGACCCACTAGAAAAGAAAGTGTCACATAAATTGGGATAGAGGGACTAGAACACATAAATTGGGATAGAGAGTATGTTTACACTACAAATTGTTAGCTTTGATGGTATTAAACAGATGCTTACTGTGTTGATTTTTTGCAGGCAACTTTTGGCCCCAGTTATTCTAGGAGGCCAGGCAATGACATGGGCAGTTGGCAAGTTGGAAACAAGCCGTAATGGACTACCAACTTCACCTTCTTCAACTGATGTTCAGAGCAGGGTGTTGCAAGCTGCTGCAAAGCATGAATCACAACCAGATAGCGAAGAGACTCAAGATCTGTCCCCTGAAACTATGCTTTCCGTCAGTGAAAACATCGATCTTTCTGAAGCATAGAAGATTTAAGTGTTTTGCAGCTAACTAATAATAATCCAACTGAATGACACTGCATATTGTGTATTCAGTCAAGACACTGAGGTTATCAACCATACTACCACCTTAAAATTTGTATAGTCAAGACCTTGAGTTTCTTTCTTTTTTTTTGTAATGAAAAGGTAAAAATTGCAACATTTACCCCATCATGGATATTTACATTATGTACCATGTATGTACATTCATTGGATATTCCATAGCAAACACACTTATTAATTTAGCAAAACATGCCCTCCAATATTATGCTAGTTGTTTTATCTCTTGCTGTACCTTCACATTCCACGGGATGTTTGACAAGTTTCCTTGACTATTCCCTTTTTTACATTATCATCTTTATTGACATGTCTAGGCAAAAACGGATTATAAATAAACAATGTTGAAGCATGCTCAAAAGATGGCCCAAGAAATGATACAATCAATGTTTTTCTGCATTACAGGACCTTTAAACATAATTGGTTTTGCCAACACTGTTGTTTTAGAACACATAGTAGGGTTGATATACAACATAGTTGAATCCTTAAAATGACATTATACACATTTCCATGAGAGAAAATATTCTACCATGTATGCCATTTAGAGAAATCCGTCAGCAAATTTGTTCAGTCCATTATCCTAGTATTTACTAAGTGAAGAGTTGATGAGGCAAAAAATTGGTTGCTTGTATCATGCTATGGTTCCTGAATCAAAATGTCATGTGAGGTGCTCTTTCATCTTCATCCACAGCTCATTTATTTGAACAAGAGACTTGAGATGAGACTGACAATATCTTACGGCATCTTGCATTACCAGTGATGCACGAGAAATTCAGGTTGGCTGGAAGGATTTTGCCATTGACATATATTTCATTCCTTGTCAGCTATAACAACAAAAACATCCTTAACTGACCATTTTCTTCTCTCTGTTTTTGCCGGGGGGTTGATGACTGCTTTGTCTGCATTAGCAAGACGGTAACCAATCACAATCTCTCTCCTTTGCCGTGCACGCAGGAGCACTTCATAAAAACTCAACTCCTCACTGTCACAAAGGTATAGGGCTGCTCCTCTTATTTGCATCTCATTTCCCTGGAATGTTAGAAGGTTTTATTAGTCATATACAATAAAAATAATAACTACAGCCTTAATGGAGGTTGCAGAATACTACCATTATAGGTAGGCATTTCATGCTTCAGCATCTAGTGAAGCATTCAATACTGTCAAATTTTAGAATTGAGAAGCAAGCGATATACTTCAGCTCAAGTTAATAAAAACGAGGAATGCATCCTAACAGACCTTTACTAATTGAAGGTCTGATAACATAACTGAGAGTCAACCTAATTTGGAAGTACCAATTGAGTTGTGGTGCAATGGTGGGACTACTCCACCCTTAACTAAAGGTCTCAAGTTCGAGCCCTCGGTATGGCCAAAATCTTGTTGGAAGCACCACCCCCGAATGGGCCCTGCAGTGCGCAATCCGGATTTAGTCGGAGCTCCAATGCGGGCTACCGACATGGAAAACCGAAAAAAAAAAAAAACTTATTTGGAAAATCTAGAGCAAACCTCCCTCTCTCTCTCTCTCTCTCTCTCTCTCACACACACACACACACACACATATATCATGCTGCTTCAATTGTTAGCTTTCCCTAATAAACGGAGTGTTGGATCTCCAACAATACCCTGATACACGTAATTGCTAAAAGCTCCGATAATACTGGATGTGTACTTGAACAATCCACTATATTTGAGACAGAAAATCAGGAAACTCAGTAGGCATGACCCATGCCAGTTGCCTCACCTCTTCAGCAAACAGCTCTTCCAATACATCATTTATTTGACGATCCTCTGCCACCATGGCCAATGCCATGCTAACAAGCTCATTTGACAAAACATAGTCACTTATCTTTGACATAGACAAGAGGTTTTTAGTCCTCGGGTCCAAAATTTCACTGATTATAACTGACTTATCTGAAGCCTGCTGCATCTCCTCTCTCCAGGAGCCCTGGGAGGAGCTACCCCCGTGAATTTTGGAAACCATAGATTCTCTGTATGGGAGGCGTTTGGCCTGCAAAACCAGAAAACAGATTTCTGAGTGCGTGATCTGATGTCACAGATTAAAGATTGAATTAAAATAGAATTAAATCATCTCAATAGAATTAGGTTAAAAGTGCATACGAAAATAAAGAAACAGTACATCTAAAAAGCAGCAATATTTGACAAGATAATACAAGAATATTGCTACTTATGAAAATAGAAATCCTGAATCTAAATTAAGGAGCAGATGACTACATTTTTCCTCGAGAAACCTTAGTTCTTTGCGGTTAAATTTGAAAATATGCTAATTGTCCAATGAGTAAGAGGATTTCTACATCCATTCCTGGATCCTGTTGATAACGTCTACTATAGCAAAGCAATACTGCGGATCAAGACCAAACTACCGGTTCTGCAAAGGGACGACCCCAAAATTCACACATGCCAGAAGGAAAAAATGCAGGTGTTTGATGGCAAAGACTTATTCTGCCAAATCAGTCAAGAACTAAGAGGCAGTCTGATCGTTTAGACATGGTAACAATGAAAAAGAAAACAGAACCTTGCTAAACTTGGAAACTTGAGGATATATTAAGCAGAAAATTTTAGAGGGTGTAATTTTTCACGTGGTTGGAAGAGAGCGGAGTAATATTGACAGCTGAGAATTTGTGAACAAGACAGTTTATGTCAGCTATTGCATCACACGTGAATGTTCAAGTAAAGATGATGACCGCCTATGTTTGCCCAGACCTCTCAAAATCCTTGCCACACCCGTGTTGATTGATACAATTGGGATGTGGGTGTGGGGTTCGCACTGAATTTGGTAAACCTAACTTGGGTTCTTTGACCTACACCTATTGCCAAGAAGTTTAGGTTGATTGGTTATTTGATATGATTTTGGGTTTGTAGGTTGATTGGTTATTTGATATGATTTTGGGCTTGTAGGTTGATTGGTTATTTGATATGATTTTGGGTTTGTCATATATATATACTAGTTTCTCTATACGTGTGTTGCACGTGTATATCAAATTATATATATATATATATGATACATCTAAGATCAATCAACAATCGCGTCAAAATGTTCCTTCACGTGTATATCAAAGAAGAATAGTGATACCTCAAATTCCACTAAACTTCAAACTCGTTCAACTAATGCAAATCATTCTTGATTTTTTTAAGAAGGGTAGAAAACTTTTTAAAAAATGAGAGGAAACCCCTCTATTTATAGGCAACAAAGTGTAGTGTGAACATGTGTTTATTGTACCTTATTAGAAAAAGCACAACCCTTAAAAGAGTCCTAATCTTTCGAAAAAATAACAACTCATTGAAAAAGACACAACCCTTTGAAAAAATCACAACCCATCGAAAAAGTCACAACGTATCGAAAAAGTCATAACACTTCGAAAAAGTCACAACCCTTCGAAAAAATTACAACCTTTCGAAATAGTTGAGGATATTATAATAATTTATCATTCAAGTTAGAGAATTCATGCATTTAAGGTAGTATAGATATAGATAGATATATAGATATCCCAGATGTGTAGTTAACAAATTGTTGTTATATATATATAAATACGAGATAGCTTATAGATAAAATATTAATCCCTCCGTTTCATTGTGTCTTAGTTTGATTGGGCACGGAGCTTAAGAAAATAAAGAATAGTTTTGGATCTTGTGATCTTAAACTATAGGTGTATAATGTACCAAAATGCGCTTTGAAACTTGTGGTCTTAAACATGTCATGTGGGATGTCGGAACCAAAGAGTTGCTAGCAATTAAAACAACAACATACCCAGTGTTATCCCACAAGTGGGGTCTTGGGAAAGTGTATGCAGGCTTATCCCCAACCTTGGGAGATAGAGAGGTTTTTGGTAGACCCTCGGCTCGAGAGAAAGCATATCAAAAAAAGAAATAACGGAAGTGAAGAAATCACATCAAAATCTATATATATATATATATATATATACTTCCTTAAAAGCATGAACTTCCTAACTTAAATGTTAAATCACTATAGAACCCCCAACTTAAAACACTCAATTTAGTAAGAGGGTTTTATTTGATCCACTGTGATAGGTCTCCCAAAGTTGATGGTGCTTGCGCTAAGGAAGCAACTAAGCATAATACTTTAGTGATTGATCATGTAAAGCTTATCGTTGGATTTTTGTCTCCTAAAGGGACTTTTGTTACTAAGGTATGTATGGAAGCTTTGATTAGTATATGAGTATGATCATATTCACATGAAAGTTTTCATGATGGGAAATTTTACACTGCAGTTGGTCACTTTCTTTTTTATTTGGTTATATTATATTTGGTTATTCGTGTAGAGAATATTTTCTGATTGTTTACCATAGAAGATTGTAAACTCATTGTTATCATTTTTTTATTATGCAGAATTTTTTTGACCACCGACGTTTTGGCTTTAATATAGCAACTGACTGTTGTTTTTTAAAATATAAAATAAAAATTAGGCTGTCAGTCATAATTTTGACTTCAAATATGATCACTCGAATAATTTCTCTAGTTATCAATAAAATTATTTACCTTATAAAACTTTTTAGAACGACAGCATATCATAATTGGGGATTAGGGCACAAATTGTCATAAATGTGGCATAGGATAAGAAATAAAATATCCCTTCCACAAAGTACCTGAATATCACGTATTAACAGTAATGTGGCAAGTGATCTGGAATCAGCCTGAATTGCGGAATCTTCCACTGATTCATCAGCCAAAATTAAGATCTGTACATAAAAAAAATAAAAAATCAGAATTGTGATACAAATTATAAAAGACACAATATGAACAGGAACACCCCAGAAAACCCATCTTATTCCCTCCACCCACTCCAGCAGAAGAAAATAACAGATCGAATCTATCTGAGCATCGTTAACATCAGAACATAGTCACTTCATATTACCTAAAAGAGCACCTTTTTACATATTTAGTGAATCTTACTCACCGAGTCAAATGATTCCAAGGGAAGACTTTCTAGATGGCGTCGTATAACAGCATTACCCTCACGGTTTACCAGTATTATGTTTGCCAGCCGGCTAATATCCAGGCCACCATCTGTTAGCTTCTTTTCTCTTTCCTTCTCGGAGACTTCATTGAACATCCACAACTCTGAACCATGTGCTAAGAAGGCATCCAATACCTAGAATGAGTAGCTGAGTTTGTTGGAGTTACAGAGCATCATTTTCAAAAATTGTTCAGATCTTAAATACTTTGTTCTTTCTGGGCTTCTCTCATCATTCTCTGGAACTAAGAGATGGAATGAGAAAATATTCAGAAATCAGAAAACTTGGAAGCATATATACAGGCTGACAGGCGGTGGGTAGATATGGAAAACAAGCAAGAAATCTCTACCCCCATAGTCTATAGAGAAAAGCTTGCATGAGTAAGGAAAGCATACAGTTGGCTCCTCACAAGATTACCAGTATCATATCCTCCATATCTCGTCGCCAACCACAAAAAAGAATCCGCTCTGTAGTCTTTGGGATAATTAAGTTCTTTGGCAAGTTTCCTCTCTGAACCTGCAGCATTCATGTAAAATAAAAAGGAATTAGGAGCTTTGATTTAAACTCACCACAATCATATCATCAATGTCTCGTCTCCATCCAGTTAGTAGAATCTTCTGTGGCTTTCTTGTTGGTCGGACAATGTGCATCAAAGATGCTTCTTTGACCTGAATAACCAAATTAATTATACCTTAGAAAGTCTATTCATGCCATGTTCTGCTTGCTAGAATTCCATGCCTGGAATCCCTCAGTTGCGAAGCAGAAGAGGATTTCCTTCATGTGATCCACTTAAACGTTGAAGTCGTTGAGTTTTTTCCACTCCATTTATTAAGTAAGACTTCTAATGATTATCATGAATCTAATAAAAGGTTTTTTCTGTCCTTAGAGTGGCTGGCATTAATAATTTTTGCTTGCAAATGTCAAAGCTTTATTATCTCTGCAGTATGAAAATTTACGATCTCATTTTATTTATTTTTGAGGAAGTAACAACATTTACGATCTCATTTAAATCTCTTCAATTTCATAACCTATATTCTATTGATCATAACAAAACTAGAATGCAGTTCATCTTCTCTAAATAGAAGTCGAGGACAAAAGGTTCTTGGCATTTATCCAAATCTGAATTTACACCAAAGTCAACCCATTTATCTTATTGCTGAATATACTTTTAAAGAATATTCTAACTTTGTGATGTATATGCTTTTTCATCATAGTTATAATATGTGAATTGGGTTGACTGTGTTTTCAAGCAGAGAAACAAAAGAAAATATCTATCTTAGGAAAAGAGGGAGCACCATAGGCAGTGCTGCTGGAGCATATGAGTCATCATCCTCAGCAATAACAAGGACCTCATCCCCTTCTTGCAGCACATATGAATCATCAGGATTCAGTATTATTTTCCCACCTGATGATGCCACCTTGATTCCACAAGGAATAGCATCAGGAAAGCTGATTAGGACTTCTTCAAATTGCATGCCATGCAACTGTGGCCATTTCTTGATGTAGAACTCACAATTCTCAAATCCAAGGATGTCTTCCCATATCTGCCATTGCCAAGTCCATGGAGAAACAAAATTAGATTCATGACATTGATATACTTCCCTCTCCTACTCAACGTAGTAGCTAGGATAAATTTAAACATTAGTCACCATACAAAGTTGACCACAGCTAAGAGTTGACCTGCGCAAGACCTGGCTGTCGAGCACATTGAATCATTAAGCGCCCAATTACATCATGAGCTACCACAGTTTCAACAAGATCCCCCCCAACAAGTTTCACAAGGACCTCATTATCAAGATCACCGAGTTCAACCACTAGGTGGCCCCGAAGTCCCTCCTTTACTCCCGTAAGGCTTAAAACTGTCCTCAGAGCACGGGCATCACTCTACATTAAATTTTTTGTTTATTAGCTACTACAGATTTGTTTCATGAAAATGAGTTTCTTCAAAGTGTCTATTGCTCTGACCTGGTCAGCGTTCCCATCTTCAGCAAGGACAACTATTGCACGAGCCTTAGAGACAGATACCTACAACAAATTTACCCAGTAAGCTCAAAAGATATTTAACTTGCAAATTCTGGACAACTTCAGGAGCCTTTATTAAACAATCAACATGAGACAAGAAGTGGCCTCTTGATGAAAAGCTATTTAAAATCAGAAAAGAGAAACACTAGCAAAATTTCACAATAAAGCATTGCATGATAGAATCAGATCTCTGAAAAGAAAATGGCATTCCATACCAAGGTAAGAAAAGGAAAGAAAATTCTTTGAAAACATAATTAATGCTCCGAAGCAAAAAATAATGCATACCTTTTTCAGGTCAGCCAAAATCAAGGGGCTTCCACTTCTGCATATGACAGAAGTTCCTCTAAAATCAAACTCCATTTTAGCAATATCAAGTTCCATTTCTTCTTTATCTCGCTCAGCCATGACTACAACAGTTCCTCCCCCCAAACTCTCATTAGCTATCGCGAGTTGATTCAATAATGATCCCTGGGTATACAGATGTACTCTTAGTGAATAAGGCTAATACTTCTTCCAAGTCACTTTAAGTCGTCTAAAAATACACAGTAATATTAAGAAATCTCTAGCAAATACCAGTAAGACTCAGCTGCATTATGTATATCTAAGTGTGTGGCTTTTTTTGTGAACTTTACCATTTTCAAGAAAATATAAGTGTTTTGCAAGGTCAAGTAATCAAAGTTCAAATGATTGTTCTCAATTGTGTTCCAATTCATTATATAATGAAGATTGTTGTCCTGGTCAATCAAGTATTTCATGGAGCATGGTAAATGATTGGGAAAGGACTTAGAACAATTGATAAAAGATAGCATCATTCTACTTGGCAGACAAATAAGCAATAAAATTAATGTGGTTCTTCTGATTCTACTACACTCAATTTATATAAAGAAAAAGAAGAATCAAGGGTTTGGAGCTTCTCTCATTTTCTTGGAGTAATGATAGGGGAAATCTCAAGAAAAATTAGAGAGGGCTTCTGAGCAATGCAAAAACAAGAAATACCATACTAAGGGGATTGTGATTCAGATCTGGAGCTAACATTAGTCAGCAGTGTGGGGGAAGTTATCTACAGAAAGGAAAACAAACACAGATCATTTAAAGATATGAGCTTGTCAAAGAACAGAGTCTAGCTAATTACAGGGACCCACCAGTTTATCACTCCAACCAAGTATAAGTGTGTGGTTCTGCTCAACTACTTCACTTCTTCCCTTCCTGAGTGAGTCAAATTTCTCAGATATTGCATCAGAAACTAGTCCGAGCATCATGGCAAATATCAGCATTCCACCGAAACTAACAGAAACTGACACTAGGCGTGGACCAATGCCTTCAGAATTAGTATGATTTCCTGAATCTGCAACATACGTCCATGATAACCAAAGGCAGTCTGCTATGCTATCATCTGTCACGCCAAAAAGTGCTAAGCCACCAAGACAAATAAGGAGCAGAGTGGCAACTAACAAGGTCAGTGGTTTAGCATAAGGATGAAATGATAAGAATACATCTACGCGATATGCTAGCTGCTTGTTCAGAGATAATTCCTCTGTGTTACTGTCCGACGGTCTTCTGATATAGGAGATATACCCCATATATTTAATAAAAGCAAGAGGAAGGGACAACATCATGAATGAGAGAATCAATGCTGTATTTTTCAAACTTGCACCGGAAACATTATGTTCTGATAACGAGTCAATAATGTCAATAGAATCTGAAATGTTGCAGCGTCTCAGTCTGATATTGAGCTTTGAAAGTTCATCCTGATATAAACGGGATAGAAAGAAGAAACAGGTAAACAGTTAGGGACAAATCTAGTAATATCTAGCATATATGTCAGTCAAATTCTACTTCTCAAAAGCCCAAATAGGTGTATCAATATGATTATACATGAGAAAAGTTATGAGGAAGTAATGTTAAACACACTTAAGTCAACTAATAACTGAAGAAGATGAAGGCTATATATTAGTACAGTCCCTTTTCATGATATTACATGAGGTGGCCTTGGAAGATGATCTGGAAAATAAGAGATTCACCTAAAGTATCAAGTTCAAGAGTCTTGTTTGACACAATATAACTTACCAAGAAGAAGCTACAGTGTATGCAACAGATGTGGCATATCAAGGAAGCAACTGAATAAGTCAGTCATCTTTTACTTCATTGCAAAGTTGTGCGCCCAACATGGAATATATTGCTAAACTTATATGCCCTTTATCCATAATTTACCCTTGTGATCGACTCGGACGTGTTTGTGGGTTAATTCAGGCTTTATCCGACCATTTGTGTAGAGTCTTGGAGTTGGAGTTGGAGCTGGAGTGGGTCCTTGGGCGATTCTCGAGATGGTCCCCTGCTACGGTCTGGACCAGTTGTGAGTTAGCAAAGGAGTTTGGAGATTTTGGAGTTATTTTCCACGGTTCGAGGTCAGTATGCTTCTTGTAATCTTGGGTTCGAGGCCCTATGTATTTAGGGATTGTTTGGTTGGGAAGAAGTTATCTCGGGATTAATTAATCATAGATAAGTTATCCTGGAATAAGTTATTCCACCATGTATATATGGGATAACGTGTCCCATAACTGAGGTAGAAATGGTGGGACATTGAAACTAGTAGTCTAGAATAAGTGATAGATATTGGTGTGGTTATAAATCATTTCATTAACGGTAAAATGAGAATTTTAATGTTAAATTGTTGCTTAATATAGAAATGTGTCATTCTTTCTGGGACTGACTAAAAAGGAAAGTAAGTCATATAAAGTGGGACAGAGGGAGCAATAATTTTGTGGTCCTGTAATCAATGTAATGCAACTTAATATGAATTTGCTAACGCCTTACACGGATACATAATTATAAGCAAAAAAATAGATATTGATACCGTAAGTTACCTGCAAATCATTAACTTGATTGTGTAAAGAAAAGTTTTTGTGTACAAGACATGTAAAGCACGTCACCAGTATCTGCAACCAAAATATAACAAAACCATAATTTACAGATTCAACATGTAACTAAGGTGGCATTTAGTTTAAGAAAAATGTAGAAATTTTTCAGTTTTTACAAAAAAAAAATTGCTTTTACAAAGAACTGAAAAGGAATTCGACAAACTTTCTTTTGTTTCTTAGAAAGAATTTGGAAAAATTTCTCAACAAAACACCAATATCTTTTTCCAGTTCTTTAATGGGTTTATTCAAAATATAGCACCGGAAAAAGGTACAAAAAAGCTTCTGAACCTTTTTAAAGGCTTAATACATAGCTTTCCCCTTGAACTTGTAGCTAAATCCCTTCTACACACCCTCCTTCAAGGGGTTACACACCAAATGTTTCACAAAGTGTGTTTATTACACACCACTTTAGTTGTGTGGCACTCGCATATCCAAGATTTTTTTCATTTTAAAATTTTTCCTTTTAACCATTTCACGCCAATTTTTTTTTGGAAAAACTACAAACCCCTCAAACTTTGTCTTCTTCCCAGACCCCAATCCCTCTGCTATTTGACTTCTTTCCTGCCTAACCCTTTCCCCATTTGTGTCGTCTTCCCCACCCCCTTCATCATTTTCCCTAACCCTCTACTCCACCCCAGCCCAGCCATTTCGTCTTCTTCCTTGCTGCAACCTCCTCCCTTTTACGTTTTTTTGCTCAATTTTCCAAACAAAGGTCACTAGGCTATTTTCTTTTCAATACATGTAGCTCAAAATGAAACTATTAATTTTTTAAGAAAAAGAGAGAAAATAACAAAAATTGCTCCTTATGTTTGAGATTAGGTCCAAAATAGCCACATTAAGTATGCACTGAACAATATCTTATAATTTGATAAAAGGTAATGTATTGAACAGTTTTTATCCTTTATGTTTGACAAAAATACATTTAGTTTCCATGAAATATTTAATAATTTATTCTTTGTTAGATTTGATGAAAACAGTAGTAAATATTTAATCATAAACACCCAGAAAGCCACATCAAATACTAAAATATGTGCACAAAAAATTGCATTAGACAATAAAAAGATATAAAAAAATTAGTTGAAATTACACTTTGAAAAAGTGCACCAGACTCGAGTAAAGTGTTCACTTTTGTTAACTTAATGAATCAAAATTGTTAAGAGCAGACTAATTTGAACCTAAGGTACCGTTGTTATCATTGTAAGGATAATAATTTTGTAAAATTAGCCAAGGTAAAAAGAGAGAGAGAAAGGTTACTGCAATAATGCAAGCCGCCTGCCGACTAACAGTGAAACGGCGAAAGAAACTGGTAAATTTCTTATCAACCGATGTCGTTTTGTTCCCCGAGCTTGGACACTCTCCTGACTGGACGGCGAAGTCGTTTGACTTTCCATCTGTAACAGCATCAACAGAACCCTCCCGTTCCACAATCCGGTGCCGGTGACTAATACGGCGTCGTAGAGTTCGGGGGACTGCGGGAGGAGTAGAGTTTGAAGGAGGATGAGAAAGAGAGTTCTGAAACGACGTCGTTCGAGGATAAGGCGAAGAGAATCTCCGGGCCGGAGTTCGGGGAAGGTTGAATGATTGTGAAGGGAAAATCCAGTCTCGGTTGGTCGTCGACGGCGAGTCAAGGTCCAAGGACATTTTGGTAGTTGCAACAAAAGTAGCGGGGTGAGGAGTCTTTTTATAGTCCTTTTGGCGAACGTTTTCTTAAATATTCAGTGGAATTTATGTGGTTAAAAGTGCAAATTGCAGTCTTGTCTTTGTTAAAATCTTCATAGGAAAAATTTAGTTGCAAAAAAAAATCTTAATGAAGAAAAACGAATACATGAAACACATTTCAAGCTTCCTAATTAGAAACATTTTCAAGAAAAATCAATTGGATGAAATCTTAAAAGGAGTACAATATGTATTTTACATTCATTTATTTAAAGCATTATATAATTCTATCGATCTTATATCATTATCACATTCTGAACTACACCCTAGAAAATCGCGAAGTAGATCTATTTCCACCTTCACCTTTGTACAACTGGATCTAAATTGATTTTTAGTTACTATATCAACATGTAGAGGTTTACCTACTGCTTTCGCCATTGTAAATAATGATTCCTTGACAACAAAAATTAGGCGATAATGATGGGAAAGAAATTCATGCCAAAGTTATTAAAGTATCCACCTCAGGATTAAACCATGATTCTACCTTTAATAGCTTCATCGGATAATAACAATTCTTGGCTTTTAAAAAAATAAGCGGATTTTCACATCACATATTTATAGTTTTTCATGGTTGTTAATTGTATAAAAAATTGTCTATCCTAAAAGAAATCTATCTTGCATTCTGGCTTGATTCACATTGTAATGGAACAATTTTGTATCTCTTCAAGTTTTGGTCATCTATACAGAATTTACCTATCATAACAAATTATAAATTCTCTTATATGATCATGTTGTTTGCTTCCTCTTCCTCCTATAAGATGGCGGATTCTTCATGCACATAATCTAGTTCTTTGATAGGGGTCTATATTATAAGGGTTGTGGTTATATCTGATTTGAGAGTGTTGACATAGGTTGGCTTAGGATGTGCTAGTGGTGGTGGTTCCTCGTTGTTGTTCATCTTGTATTCCTAAGATACTAAGAATCTAACTTTGAAGAACTTGGTAAGAAACAACAAAATTTAAAGAGTATTTTCAAACTAGAAAATTAAAACTAGTAGAGAAAATAGAATCAGAAACAAATTAAAAACAATATAAAAATATTTTTCTCAAAGAAAGAAAATTTGAGCCCACTGAATGCACAGTGTCCCCTTAAGGAAATTTTCCCCTCAAGTACCCGAGGTTAATGGAATATACCCTCCCAGGATAGAACGATCTTACTCACCGGTGTATTGGTACCTAAAACAACGGTGTCAGCGAACCACTCAACGGCAGTAAAGTACACTTAGAATACTAGATTTAGTAGTAGTAGAAGAAGTCCAGAAAATTTAGTTCAACTAAAATGAGAGGAAATCCCTCAATTTATAGAAAAACAAAGGGTAGTGTGAAAAAGTTTTTATTGTGCCTTACCGGAAATGTCACAAACATTTGGAAAAGTCACAATCTTTTGGAAAGGTCACAACCTTTCATAAAAGTCACAATTTTTCATAATAGTCACAACTTTTCATAAAAGTTGCAACTTTTCATAAAAGTCACAACTCTTCATAAAAGTCGCAATTTTTCATAAAAGTCACAACTCTTCGTAAAAGTTGCAACTCTTCATTTTCCATTCACACCTTTTAAAACCCAACACTCGCTTCATAAGGTGGTCAATCGTTGTTGCCCATAGTCATGCAGGGGTGAAGCTATAGTCATCCAAGGGTGAAGCTATAATCATCCAAGGGTGGTCAGTTAAGCCCTTTGTTGGAAAATTACACCATGTAAATAGGTCAAATTTTAGGTTTGAGGAATATATATTTAATGTGGAATACCCTCCACATAAACTCTTCCATTGGTGCAATGGTTAAGGTTGTTCATTTTCAACCCAATAGTTCCTAGGTTCAAACCTTGCTTAAGTGCATAACATTTTTTGTTTTAGTTTGAGAGCAGGTCACAACCATACACTTGTACACACACCATTATTCTTACATCAAACAAATACATTTATTAATTTTAATTTAATTAAAATTCTTAAATGTTTCTCAAGTTTCTTAATATTACAATTTTAATAATATAGAGTAACATATATGAGTAAATCATTTTAATTTTAAAATTTATTATTATATTATATAGATATAATGTATTTCTAATTTTATCTAACATATATGAACTTTACAAGGGTGAAAAAACAAATTGGACAACATTTTACGTTGAAAATTTGTACTTATATATATTAACAACTTCAAACTCAAAGCTAAACTCGATACACACATTTTATAAAAAAATTTAAAGAAAAAAATTCTTTGATAGTGTGATTTGTGTTTTGTATAAAGACACATTTATCCAATCAATATTTCACTTTATACACAATAATTCATATATTTTTATTATAGAAAATTAATGCATCAGAAAAAAAAACTCGATTGTTTGTATTTGATAGTAACAATGTTGGGATCATTCATGGTACAATCGTTAGGTTAAACAAATAACATTCAACTCACTTATAAAAAATAACTATTCTTGAACACCCTTGATAAAAAAAAATTTGGTTCCGCCATTATAGTCATGGTAGCGTTATTCTCCGTTGATGCTCAAAATAGATTAGGATTAGGTTCCCTAGGTAATAGTTGTTTTAGTGGTGTTGAATTTATTAAGTGACAAAAGTCACATAATCACTATAAATGCATCTAACATTCAAAAAAGAGAGAAATACAACTAAATAATGTACACATACTGTGAATTATGCATATATAGTATATTGGTTACATGAATATTTGAATCGTAATCTTGCTCAATTTGTGTATCTGATTTTTGGTTTGTATTGGTTCTAGCATGTAGGCCTTAACGTGGTTATAATATTTTTACCGGATCTTTTTGACGCTTGGATCTATTCTCGAATATAATATAAGAAGATTGACTAGTTTCATCAATCACAAAAGAGGACCTTGCAATGGAGTGTTCTTGAGTGGAATCCAAAAAAGGTCTATTTTTTGGTAGAAGCATGATGGTTTGTAGTACCTTTATTAGCAATACTATTGGTTGAAGAATCTTATGCCATCAATGGAGATTAAGAACATAGAAAAAAATAAATGGGAAAATGAATAAGTACCCCCCAATCTATGCCCGAAATCCAAGAGACACACTTATACTATACTAAGGTCCTATTACCCCCCGAACTTATTTTATAAATAATTTTCTACTCATTTTTTGCCTACGTGGCACTATGATGAGTCCACAAATTGGACTCATTTAGGGTTTTATTTTGATAGGAATAGTGTCCTCAAATGCTTATTTTGTCTCAATATCTGATGAAAACTCTTAAATTTCAAGTATTTGAAGTTTTAGTGGAAGCATGGACACTTAGGCGCAAAAAGGAACAAAAAGGCTGAAAAGAACGAAGAAGCTGAAGTCTGCGCATCGCCAAGCACGCTTGGCGATTCGCCGAAGGGACGCACTCCGCCCTTTGTTCCAGTACGCGATGCCTTGAAGGAGCAGGATCAAAATGGTGATGAAAGGAGCAGTCGGCGTTTCGCCGAATAATTTTGCGAAGCAATACTAAGTCACCCAATGCCACAGAGCACGACGATGTTGAAGGCTAGTGCAAGACGACGACGAACTACACCAAAAGGTGAAGTGCCGAGTTAATCGGCGATTCTGACTAACCTCGCCGAAAGATCCGCCAGCACTATTTTCTGAAGTCTATAAATACTAAACTTGTTATTAATTTTT